ATCATGGGATTTCAGATAATTTTGTTTTGTTCTTTATGCTTTTTTTCTATATTCTGTAAGTGATCATGTATCACTTTTGTAATCATGAAAAGATGTTATTTTAAAATGACTCCTGTATGTCATACTTAATGGTGAAAGGCTGAAAGTTTTCCCCCTGAGATCAGGAAAAAGGCAAGAATGCCCACTCTCACCACCTTGATTCAACACAGTGCTAGAAGTTCTAGCCAGTGCAATAAGGGAAGAAAATTAGAGGGGGGTGAGGGAAGCCATATAAATTTTAAAGAAAGAAATAAAATTGTCCGTATTTGCAGATAATGATTATCTCTATATAAAACCCCAAGGGATTTACAAAAACACTCTGAGAACCTCTAAGTGAGTTTCAGCAATGTCCCAAGATACGGGCTCAATACAAAGAAAAATTAATTGCATTTCTACATACTAAAAATGAACATGTGGAAATCAAAATTAAAATCACAATATCATTTATAATTGCCCCCCCAAAGAAAGTGAAATCTAAGAAAACATGTACAGAATCTGTATTCTGAAAATGACAAAAACCTGATGAAAGAAATCAAAGAAGACTAAAGAAATGGAAAGGCTTACTCATGAATTAAAAGATTCCATAGAGTAAAGATGTCAATTCTCCCCCTACTGACCTCTAGGTTTAATACAAATTCCTATCCAGGTGTTTGTAGACATACAAACTTATTCTAAAGTTTATAGAAATTCTAAAGGACATGAAACAGTCAAAAACAACTCTGAAAATGAAGAGTAAAGTGGGAGAACCATGCTATTGAATGTTAAGGCTTACAGTATAGCTACAATAATAGAGACAGTGTGGTGTTGATAGAGATACACATAGACCATTGGACCAGAATAGAGAATCCAGGAACAGATACAGATATATATATCTGAACTAAATGTTGAAAAAGTGCAAAAACAATTCAATGGACTAAGGAAAAACCTATTCAACAAATGGTGCTGGAACAATTGGACATTCACAGTTTTAAAAATGAATCTTCTAGCAGCCATCCAGAGGGGTGTGTGCACCTGCATTCACCCTGTTTTTTAAAAAAAAGTTAAACATGAATCTTGACCTATGTCTCCCACCCTACACAAAAAAATTAACTCACAGTGGATCACAGACTTAAACATAAATTGTGAAGCTATAAAGCTTTTAGGGAAAAAAATGAAGAAAATGTTTGAGATCAAGAACTAGGCAAAGAGGGGTGCCCGGCTGGCTCAGTTGGTGGAGACTGTGACTCTTGATCACAGGATTGTGAGTTCAAGCCCCATACTGGGTGTAGAGATTACTTAAAAATAAAATCTTAAAAATTTTTTTAAAAAGGAAACAAAGCAAAGAGTTCTTAGATTTCACACTAGATGTATAATGCATAAAAGGAAAAACTAATTAACTAGATCTCATCATTTTCAAATCTTTTGCTCTGTAAATGACCCTGTTAAGAAAATGAAAAGACAAGCTGAAGACTGGGAGAAAATATTTGCATTTGCAAACATATCCAACTAGTTTCTAGAATATATAAATAGCCTCCAAAATTTGACATTAAAAGAACAAACAATCCAATTAGGAAATGAGCAAAAGACATTAAAGACATTTCATTGAAAAAGATAGATAGCAAATAAGCACATCAAAAGATGTCAACATCATTACCCCTCAGGTCAATGAAAATTAAAACCAAAATCAGAGGGGCGCCTGGGTGGCTCAGTTGGTTAAGCGACTGCCTTCAGCTCAGGTCATGATCCTGGAGTCCCTGGATCGAGTCCCACATCGGGCTCCCTGCTCAGCAAGGAGCTTGCTTCTTCCTCTGACCCTCCCCCCTCTCATGTGCTCTCTCTCTCTCATTCTCTCTGTCTCAAATAAATAAATAAAATCTTAAAAAAAAAAAACAAAAAACCAAAATCAGGTATCACTATAAGTACCTATCAGAATGGATAAAACTTTTAAAAATAGTGTCAATACCAAATGCTGGAAAGAAGCAGAGAAGTTAAATCCTTCTTATGGTGCTGATGGGACTTAAAAATGGTACAGTCACTTTGGAAAATAGTTTACCAGTTTGTTTTAAAACTAAAAATGCAACTACTATATGATCCAGCAATTGCACTCTTGGGTATTTACCCTAGAGAAATTAAAACCTATGTTCATGCAAAAACCGACACATGAATGTACAGATTTGATATACACAACAATTTAGATTGCCCTTAAGAGAATTATGCTGAGTGAAAAAGTTCAGTCTCGAGAGAATACATACTATATACTTTTTTTATATAGCATACTTGAAATAACACAGTCACAGAGAAGAAGAACAGATTAGTGATTGCCAAGGGTTAAGGATTTGGAGCAGGGGGGTTTTGGCTATAAAAGTTCAGCATGAGGGAGCCTTGTGCTGATGGAACAGTTCTATTTTTTTTTTTTTTTTTTTTTTTGAGAGAGAGAGAATGAGAGACAGAGAGCACGAGAGGGAAGAGGGTCAGAGGGAGAAGCAGACTCCCTGCTGAGCAGGGAGCCCAATGTGGGACTCGATCCCCAGACTCGAGGATCATGACCTGAGCCGAAGGCAGTCGCTTAACCAACTGAGCCACCCAGGCGCCCGGAACAGTTCTATATTTTGATTGCAGTGGTAGTTACATGAAATGTGTTAAAACTGCCCAGAACTGTAACTCATACATACAAGGAGTGTGTGTATAGCTGGTGAAATCTGAATAAATTTTTTGGATTGTATCAATGTCAATTTTCTGGTTTTAATATTGTCCTATAGTTATGCAAGTTGTTAATATTGGAAAAAGTGGCATAAAAGGTACATGGGACCTCCATGTGCAACTTCCTGTGAAACCATAATTATGTCATAATAAAGGTAAAAAGAAAAATGCCTAGTAACAAGAAAAAGAAACTTCTCTAAATGAGTAGATACAAGATCAAAATGCTATTGAGCTAGAGGTATTCTGGGAAAATAATAATGAAGACAGCATAGCTTTTCAACCTCTCTGAATCCCCACATAAAAACCAATAGAGCAATTGGAAAGGAAAATATCCATGGCCAACCCTACAGCAAATACTGGTGACAAGATGTACTCCACTCCCAAGTGGACAGTGTGGGGTCAAACCACCAACAGCTAAGACCTGGGATAGTTGTCCATGAAGGAGGAAAAGAAAGCAACAAGGCAACTGCCAGACCTGAGAACAGGAGAACAACAAAATAGCCAATAGTTTGGAAAACATAAGGGACCAATTTGAGAACAGCATTAATCTTTTATCCAGCAACATTGCTAAATTATTAATTCTAGTAAATTATACTTTTTTTTGATTTTCTATGGAGACAACCATATTGTCTATAAATAATGAAAAGTTACTTCTTTCTTTCCAATCTCCTTTTATTTCCTTTTCTTGTCTTATTATTTTGGCTAATATTTTCAGTACCATGTAATAGAACCTGGAATCCCCAACTGGTTCTTGACTTCAAAGAGAAAAGTACTAACATTTCACTATGAGGTATGATCATTTATTTAGACTTCCAGGTGATCTTTATCAAGGTTCTATAATAAAAATGTTTTTCTATGTCACAGGCAAATATGGCAAGATTGTAACATTGGTTAAATCTTAGTGGAAGATGGTGGTAGATTTAAAAGAATTGCAACTTTTTTGCTACTTCTCCCATTGAGAGTTGGAGTCTAATTCACCTCCCCATGAATCTGTGCTGGCCTTAGTAACATGCCTGGTCCACAGTAGGTGGCAGAGTGATGTTTTAGAAAGTTATGCAGCTTCTGCCTAGGGCTCCTGGGACATTCTCTGTAAGAACCCTTAGCTGCCACATGCCATGCTGGAAAGGCCACAAGAAGGTGCGCGCCCCCCCCCCACACATAGTTTAAAATCACTCCAGTCTTCGAGCCATTTGCACCAAGGTGTGAGACACTGAGTGAAGCTGTCTTGAGCCCTCCAGACTAGTCCATCTGCCAGAAGAATAAACTCTTGACACCAAGAGAAGAGTCAATCAAGCCTTGCCCAAATTCCTGAGCAATAAAACTTTAAGATGTAATAAAATTGTTGTTTTAAGCCACTGCCACTTGGGATAGTTTGTTAAGCAGCAATAGATAACCAGAACCTAGGCACAGAAACTATTTTTTTATGGTTTTACATTTTTTCATAATTTAACAAAATGAAGTCTCCTCCTCATTGTTGGATTTGAGGCTAGTTTTCACTGGTTTGGAAAAACAACAAAAGGTAAAGATAGGGAAGAAGAGCCGAGAGGACTTCAGGTTCAGTGCTAGATCAATGCTAAGATCAAGTCTGCATAACCAAGGCTACTAGTCTAATAGAAATGAATTTGACAATGGTACCCTTTATTGGTGGATACTCCACTGCAGGCCCATCACTTAGTGATGGATCAGTATCTTCATGCTATTCAGAAAATGGAGCACTTTTCTCCAGGCAGACACAGCTGGATACCAGACTGTGAGGAAAAAAGTGCAGGCCAGACCTCAGCCCCCACTTGCTCTAGCATCCTTGTGCAGGGCACAATTCACATAATCTATATGTAATATCTTTAGAAGTATAAGCAAGGCAACATTTCTACATTTGCAAATGACACAAATTCTTGTGGGTGGTGATGAACTAAGTTGACGAGGATTGATGAGATTGATCTTACAAATCGGTGAGTGGGTGGAAAGGTGACAAATGAGTGCATAAAATACATGTATGCGCCATCAGTCACAGCTAAGGAGAGGGAGCTAGGGTGACTGTAGATTGTTCCCTGAAGATAAATGCAGAGGCTCCTTCTGACAGCAAAAAGAACAGCCACTTGATTGAATCATCAAGCGACATTCCCCCTGAGAAACAAAGAAGTATCACCCACTCAACTGATGCTTTGATGGAAGTTGAATAAGGCAGAAACCATCAGGAGAAAAACTGGGGAAAAATTAACAGCACGAGGGCTCAGAGGAAACTCAGACTTCTATAGATCATAAGTGGGGTATGAAGGACAAACCAATCAGATCCCAATGGAAGCAGCTACAGCGGTGCAGATGGTAACTGATGACAGCATGCTTGGGACTGGAAACCAGTAGACAGGATGATGGTGGTAATGGAAGCAGACTATTCCTGGTGATGGCAGCAGTGGCAGCAATTGAGTTGGTTTCTTAGCTGATACCAGTGGTTGGACAGCAATGGCGGCTCCAGATCATTCGTGTTGGCAACAGTAATGGAAAGGAAGCAGCAGTCAGGGAACTGTTCAACAAACGCTTCATCAACTCTTTATTCAGCACTGACCACATTTCAGGTATTATGTCGCACGGATAAATAATTATTGTGTGCCCAGCCATGTAATAGATGCAGGAGCACAAAGACAACTAGAACATGATTCTCACCCCTCAAGGACTCAGAACTGACTATGGGTGGCACACGAGAACAAATAATTGTGGCAATGTGGGAGTTGTGAGGAAAAAAATTATACTGTTGTATAGGTCCAATGCAAAAAGAAAAAACATAGTCCTTTGCTCTGACATATAGCTTTATTGGAGACACTATGTTAGGCACCATAAAAGATAAAAAGATAAGTATCAGACATAGCTTCTGATTTGGGATGCTTACAGTATAACAGATGAGGCAGGACAAGTATAATTCTATAAAACAAGGTAAAAAGGGCTGTCTATTTAAATGAAAATGAAAAATTGAGTCACACTAGCTATATCTCCAAGTGCTCAGTAGCCATATGTGGCTATTAGACATCAATAGATACAAATCATATTGGATGTCACAGATATAAAACACTTCCAACATCACAGAAAGTTCTATTGGACAGCATTTATCTAGAAATTGGTCAGAGAGTAGAACTCTGGCTTTAGTCTCCTGAAAGCCAGGGAAAACAACGTTTCAAGAAGGGAATAACCAATGGTATCATGTGCTTCAGTAAAAGCATAGAAACCAGATTATAAGAGATTTTGGATGAAATGGATGATAAATAAATAGAGATAACAAGCATAAACAATTCTTTCCAGTCATTTTGCAGTGAAGAAAAATAGAGAATGGAAACCTAAGGAAAAGTTGAGAGAGAATCCAAATGTGTATGTATGTGCTTAATATGTCTGTGGATTCACTGGAAGGCTTGAACACCAATCAAGCAGCTATCTACCAACTCTACCAATAAGAAAGCCTTTCATGTAGCAATAACAATTGAGGGGATATAATCATACAATTTTAAAGCTAGGAGGAGACTTAGAAATCATCTAATCCACTGGTCACATTGGTGCCCACAGTCACACACATAGCTCCTTAGTATTAGAATCTAGAATAACAACTCAGGTCTCAGGCGCCTGGGTGGCTCAGTAGTTAAGCATCGCCTTCAGCTCAGGTCATGATCCCAGGGTCCTGGGATCGAGCCCCGCATCGCATTGGGCTCCCTGCTCAGCAGGAAGCCTCCTTCTCCCTCTCCCACTCCCCCTGCTTGTGTTCCCTCTCTCACTGTCTCTGTCAAATAAATAAATAAAATCTTAAAAAAAAAAAAAAAAAAGAACTCAGGTCTCCCACATCCCAGTCCATTAGCTGTTCTACCTCATTTCAAATGACCAGATAGACCAGAGAAGAGGTGAAGAAATCTATTGAGTTCCATTAATCTAGCAGGAAAAAGAAAATCTCTATGTTCACATATACAAAATTTCAGTTTTCTTGGAGACAATTTTACTTCTCTCCTTTAAAATTCAGAAAAACAGAAAACTAAGCAGTGAATGTCTGCTATTTTGTAACAAACAATATACTAAAAAGAAATTAAATGTTATCTAATTAAATCTTTCACATATAGATGTGAGAGGTATGTTTTCACTATTTCAGAGCTCAGAAATTTATGCATCAGGTCAATAAAGTCATACAACTAATGACATTCTTACTCAGTTCTACACTATAATCAATTAGGAAATGATGGACAAAATGGGAGAAAAGAGATGAATAGGCTAGAGAATGAAAATGGTCTGTTCAACAAATAACAAAAGTAACAAGAACAAATTCATTTACTGATGCCGATCTTAAAAATAAAACCAATAAAAGCAGCCTTTTAGACAAATATTAATTAAACAAAGTGTTTCAAGAAATTCTAACACTGATCACCTTTGAAGAGGGGAACTGGGTGACTTTTCACAGTAACTCCTTCATAACTTTTGGATTGCAACCATAACAATGTTAACCTATTCCAATAAATAAGTTAAAAAAAAAAAACTTCAAAGGACTTAGTTCCTACCAATAGTAATTACTGGCATTCTACAATCCCCCGAGGCTGCAGAAAAATGGATATTTCAGTAAAGAAAAATCCTAACTCTGTTCTGAAATGGCAGGGGAGAAATTGGATTAAGGGCCAGAAGACTTTCCTCTGGGGGGAATCAGGAAGGAAGAAAAGATGATTGCCTCAACAATAACTATTTGATCAACTCAATTCTATTGCTATTATTTTTAGCTCATCTTTTTAGTCTTTTGCTGAGGAACCCTATTACCTGAAAGCAATTTACTAATAGGAACCCACATGAAGCAGGAGAAAAGCAACGATCCTGAAATCTTTGAATTAGTCCATTCTAATTTAATCCGTCTATTTTTGTGCCACTTAATAAATTATCTTTCAATCTTTATGTAGCTCTACTGTGATGTTGAAAATTCTTTGTGCCCAAAAGCAAAATGACCCTTTGTAAATTTTTAATATAAGGGGCTGCAGACCAGTATACTTGAAATGGGAGCCACAGTTCTGGATTCATTCTCTATTAATACTTGTCTTTTCTTACTGAAAATACTATGAATTCCAGCAATTCCTTGCAAAGGACACTCTTGTATTTTAAAATGTCTGGTGCAGAGCATGGGGAAAGGAGTTGACAAAGCTATTCAATATATGAAAGCTATGAATTGAAATTTCGGTTTGGGAATGAAGCAAGAAGGCTGAGACAGCTAGTGCAAAACTCGCAAGGCAGTAGGCGGATCAGAGCACTGCGGAGGGCGCGGGTGCTCCAGGGATCGCGACGTGGGCTGGGATGTCAGGAGAAATCCAGCACAAGGCACAGATACGTATAGGAAAGCTGCAAGCAGGTGGGAACTCTGGGTCTTCCATTTCTACCCACTCAGTTAAAGAACTTCATTAACAACACACAGACGTCATCGCTTTCGTAACTGGTGCAGGCGGTGAACCGCAGGGACTCCGTTCAAGCCGTTTTGGCGGAAGCCAATTTAGATTTGCCCGTTTCCACCCAGTCTGATTTCTGCTATCTGCTGTTGCCCCCAGTAATCTCAAATTCCTTCAAACTAAAATCCGGCCACGGTAGAAATAAGAGAGTTGGTGATACAACAGGCTAGCTCTAGCTTTGAGTTCTTCCTTCACACACCTTTAACAGTCCTTCTAATCCGTTGGTTTCCCGGACGTCCAAACGGATAACCAAACTACCGTCCCCAAAGGTCTAAGAAGCACCTACGTGGCGGTAATAGGAAAACGGAGCCCAAATTCCACCAATAAACCGGGCTACTCAGGCTACGCCCCGCCCACCACTCCTGCCAACCAATAACATTCACAACTCTTCCACCGCTCCCGCCCGTTCCTAGGACCACTGCAGAGCCTCCGCCGTTCGCCTGCGCAGCATAGATACGCTGTATAAGCGTCCCTCCTCCACTTCCCCAAATAAGAGGGCCCTCTGACGGAGGAGGGAACGACACTAGCTACCAAGGACCTAGAAGCTAGTCTGACAAACAGCAGCGGCGCAAAACGATAGAGAAAGGGCCACTCACAACGCCCCCACTCCCGCCCTGTTCCCCCTGACCCGGAAGTAATTTCCCCTCTTCTCTCCGCCCCCTCCCTCCCCATGGTTGAGAAGGGAGGAAAAGGACGGCCGGGTCTGGCCCGGCATGCCTTAGGCTTCCGGTGACCTCTGGCCCTTTTCTGTCGTCCGCTCTCGCTTCCCAGCGTGCTCGCTCGCCCACTGCCTTCTTTCCCTCCCTCCGGTCTTCCTTCGCACGCTACCTGGTGACTGAAGCGCCCGCGACCAGCAGGGAGGCGGTGGCGGAGGACACTTGTCATGGCCGCCTCTAAGCCTGTGGAGGCGGCGGTGGTCGCGGCGGCTGCGCCCAGCTCCGGGAGTGGGGTGGGCGGCAGCGGCGCGACTGCGGGCCCCGGCACTGGGGGCCTACCGCGATGGCAGCTGGCGCTGGCAGTCGGGGCGCCCCTTCTGCTGGGCGCAGGTGCCATGTACCTGTGGAGCCGGCAGAGGCGGCGCCGGGAGGCTGGGGGCCGAGGCGACGCCGGCGGTTTAAAGCGCAACAGCGAACGGAAGACCCCAGAGGGCAGGGCCAGTCCGGCCCCGGGCAGCGGACATCCCGATGGCCCCGGTGCTCACCTGGAAATGGTGAGAAGCAGCCCTGGGCTATGAGGGTGGAACCCAGCGGGTGCAGCCTTTCCTTGACTAGCTGTGCGGGTCAGGGGGCTTCCCATCAGACGGAAGCTGCCTGGCAGCACATGGGTTTAGCACATTTCTGGCTGCCTTTGTAGGGATTGGAATAGCCCGAGGGCACAAGTTAGCGTCCTTCTTTGATAGTTTCCCCTTGGTTTCAGAAAAATACTTGCCTTTTTTTTCTCAGTGACACAGCATTTATCTCTGGCGTTTTGGGTACGGGGGACATTTGCAAATGTGAAGATTGTATTTAATTAGTGAAGGAAGCCAACTTGCATTTACGATTAGTACATTGTGGTTGACAGGAATTCTTGTGATTTCCAAGGCCTAGAACTTGATCCGTAATAACCTTTTAATAACGAGCCACCCCCGTTTTTTGAAGTCTCTTAGGGTAGGGGATAGGTAAATAGAGTGACGGTTGGCAGAGTGAAATGGTGTTAAGTAGCATTTGTTTTTTTATCTGTGGGAGTAAATTCTTAAACTTTTTTTTTTGGTAGAAGCGTCTTAAATTCATTTTTTAATTTTACCTGAAAATTTACATGATCAAGCCTGACATGCGTGATAAAGATTCTTTCATGTTAGGCCAAGTATCAGAGTATCTGGTGAACCGCTTTGCATGGTTTTGTTGAACCGACTGTTAAATCCTTTTGGTATCTGACAGCTGTGGGGAATAAGCCTGGCTGCATTTAACAATACTGGATGGGGTGGGGTGGAAGATTTTATTTGCCTCTTGGATTGTACAGTGGTAGTCCGACTAAATCAGAGTTCAGAGAAACCTTTGGTCAAATAACTCCCAGTCATTAAATACATTTGCAAGTCATTTCCACATTATATTATTCAGGTTAAAGACATGATTTTACTAAGTAGTCAAATTAGCTTTAAAGGAAATTTTGCTGTGGGAGTGAACTATCATAATTTAATGCCCACTATATGTCAGGCATTGTGCTAGGCTGTGAGAGAGCCAGATAGATAGTCTTTGTAATGGGAGAGTAAAACATAGCTTTTTTTTTTTTAATTTTTTTTTTTTAAGATTTTATTTATTTATTAGAGAGAATGAGAGAGAGCACGAGAGGGAGGAGGGCAGAGGGAGAAGCAAACCCCCTGCTGAGCAGGGAGCCCGATGTGGGACTCGATCCCGGGACTCCAGGATCATGACCTGAGCCGAAGGCAGTCGCTTAACCAACTGAGCCACCCAGGCGCCCAAAAACATAGCTTTTTTTTTTTTTTTTTTTTTTAAATATAGAAAAGATGCAGTATGGTATGCTGGAAGAGCCCGTGGACTGTGAGAACTAGGAGATGTGTGTAGTGGACTCTCCAGCAAGTTACTTTGGGAAAGTCATTTTACCTCTCTGGTCTACTGTCATCCCCATACTATAAGTGGATTACAGTATTTTAGGTCTCTCATATCTTTTCCAGCCCTAAAAATTGTTGCCTCTGAGTGCTGCTAATGAGAGTGGTAATCGGAGAATTCTTTGAATTCGCACTTGTCTTATATCATTTTCATATGTCTGAAATTCTCTGGTCATTTCCTATTTCATTTTTTAGCTTAATTTTAATCAAAGAAGAATAATAGGGCGCCTGGGTGGCTCAGTTGGTTAAGCGACTGCCTTCGGCTCAGGTCATGATCCTGGAGTCCCTGGATCGAGTCCTGCATCGGGCTCCCTGCTCGGCAGGGAGTCTGCTTCTCCCTCTCCCACTCCCCCCTCTTGTGCTCTTTCTCTCTCTCACTCTCTCTCTCAAATAAATAAATAAAATCTTAAAAAAAAAAAAGAATAATAAATGAATGAAAATACATAAAAGCTTTTAGTTCTATAATCACTAAAAATAAAAACAATTTTTATACATGAAACTTTTTGACTTTTTTTGTTTGTTTGTTTTTGCAGTTTCAAATACTGCCCCATCTCAAATACCATTTGGTATTTGAATTTAGTATGCCATTGGTATAGAATTCAGCAAACTGTCTTTCAGATTTTAGATTTTCTTAAATCCCGTTTTTAGTTTTTCAGCATTGTCTGGGTCAAAAGTAATGATTTTTAAATTTGGGGGTGTTCTGTAGTTTTGTCAGAACAATTTTTTTAAGTTGCTGCTGTTAAAAATTAGACTTTATGATTGACTTGTATAACTTGAACTGCTTTAAAATGATTTATTGTTTTTGACCCAAAATAAAACTGAGCAAAAGACACTTAGGGTTGTTCACCTTCTGGAATTTGTGGGCCTATATTCTTGCTTTGAATTACCAAATTATTCTTCAGTAAAGCAACAGTTAAAAGTGTCTTTGCCATTTTTCTAAAGGAAATTTGTGTTTGATGGTGACTAATAAATACTGAAAGAATATATTTTTTTTAAAGGTTTTTTTATTTATTCATTCAAGACACAGAGATACAGAGAGAGAGAGAGAGAATATGAGCAGGGGGAGAAGCAGAGGGAAGGGGGAGAAGCAGGCCCCCCGCTGAGCAGGAAGCCCGATGTGGGGCTCGATCCCAGGACCCTGGGATCATGACCTGAGCCGAAGGCAGACGCTTAACCAACTGAGCCACCCAGGCGCCCCCTGAAAGAATATTTTTCTGTCTTTTTTATAGTCTGGTCCTTAAAGTTATTATTAGACTATCTATATATAAGTGACCACCAGTTATTATTTATTTATTATCTGTGGTTGGAGAAATTGCTTTATATTTGAATAGCACCTTTCATTTGGCAACTTTAGTGGGTTTGGTAAATAAGAAAATCATTTGTTTCATTTGATGGAAAAACTGGCAGAATCCTGATGCCCTAACTGTTCTTTGCCCACCTGAGCAATAGCCGTAATTTTTAAGGGAATGAAGGAATGGACAAATAGTGTTTTTTCAGAGTTCAGTGAATAAAAGTCAGTGGTTTTTGTCTGTTGGCCGATGTTGCCTTATGTAAAATGAACCAATAAAATTATCTGGCCTGTGATTTTCGTGTGCAGTGTAGACTGTATCCATTTATCTTTTTTTCTGGCATAAACACTTGAAAGCAAAAGCAGAAATTCATATTTCTCTTTAAGTAATGGAGATTTTAGGATTTCACTAAAGAAAGGCATCAGATTGCAGTTGATAGCATCTGAGATTGAGGTACTTAAAGTATTAAATCATATTTCTTTTTCGCCCACTGAAAAACCTACCATGATGTGCCATTTTAACTTGAAGAATTACAGGTTTCCAAAGTTGGAAAGATTCTTTGAAGAGCACCTTATCCATAGGGCTTCTCAGTCTCTGGCCCTGAGTTATAGCAAGGGACTACCAAACCCACATACACACCAAGTAATGGTATTCTACACAGATAGATATCTTAGGCATTTCTTTTTTCAAACTTGGGATTTTTTGAAATGTGCATTTATTTAAAACTTCGTTGAGTATAGTAGCTTTTTATCCAGTTGTTTTTTAATCTGATGATAAAATATACAGTTAATTCTGGTATTCAAGTTTTTTTAAGGTTACACGGGAGTTATCCCACATGAAATGGTTAGAAACCACTAATCTAAGCACTCTAGAATGGGAAGGGAGAAATGTACTTAAACATTTTAATTAGGGGATCACAGACTGATTAACATGCTGTTTTCAGTCATTTTTGAAGTGAAGTAATTCTCTCCCCTTAAACGAGCTTCTAGTCATTTTTTAAAAATCGGGTTCACCAATGACATTCCTATATAACTAAGTCCAGTGAACACCTTTCAGTCTTTATCTCACTTGATCCTTGGCAATATTTCACATTGTCTTCTCTTAATTTCATCACTTTTCCTGTGGCTTCTGATATACTATATTCTGATTTTCTTTGCTTTTTAAAAATTTCTTTTTTTTTTTTTTAAGATTTTTTTTTTTTTTATTCATGAGAGACAGAGCGAGAGAGAAAGGCAGAGGGAGAAGCAAGCTCCCAAGGAGCAGGGAGCCTGATGCGGGACTTGATCCCAGGACCCTGAGATCATGACCTGAGCCGAAGGCAGACGCTTAACCATCTGAGCCACCCAGGCGCCCGCTTTTTAAAAATTTCTTGATACCTCCCTTGCTGATTGTTCTCGGTCTCCTTTCCAGGC